GGTGGAGACTCTCAATGAGGCCTCCAAGAAGAAGGTGAAACTGAGAAATATCCTGGAAAAACTGGCCTCCAAGAGAGAGGAAGCTGAGAAAAGAATCCAGGGCTTGCAAGTGCAAAAAAAGCAGCTGGGGTAACAGATAAACTCACAGACCTGATTAGGGGCATCAGGGAACAGGTGAAAACCTTAAAGAATCGAATCCTGAGTGAGTTCTCCAGACAGGAAGAGCAGGTCTCATTCCGAATCTCCATTCTAATCTAGCAGCCGGGAATGAAGAATGATGAGCTGTCCAGGAAGATGGGTCACATTGAGGAGCTGTGTATCATGACGGACCCATAAACTGTTTTACAAGGATAGGAGTCAGACAGCATGGACTATTGTGATGCTGAGGGGGAAGACAATGAGGACAGAGGGAAAGATGATAAAAAGGTCTGTGCTGTAGGGGATCTAGGTGTGGTTCTGATCTCAATGACCTTACACTCAGGCTTAGCTGGGATTGTGACCAGGGTAAAGAGCCAGCACATTGTATGAGCTAATAAATTACTGGGGGCAGAATTAGCTTCAGACATGTTAATGGATATAAACACAGCTGCTAATAATGTGACTGTATCAAATGATTCCTCCGTTCCAGTAGTCTTTTTTAATATATCCGGGTATCTTCAATAGTTAATTGTTGTGCGGTATTAACCAACTTCTCCATTTCGAAATGATGTCCTCCAGACGTGTCCTGTCTTTCCAATTATATTCTACCGGAAGTGACGCAACGGAATCTACTAAAGTGTTGGTGTTTCATCTTGCAAGACAAAACACTAGCACTTTAGGAGGCAAGTTGCTAGGAGTCTTCCCTTTAGTAATACAGATCGTCACTTCCAGTAGAACATAATTGGAAAAGACAGAACGCTTCTGGAGGACATTACGTGATTTCAAAGCGGAGCGGTTGGTTAATACCGCACAACAATTAACCAATGAAGATACCCGGATGGATTTAAAAAGAATACTGGACAGGAGGAACTACATACTGATTGAGAAAACCATCATGCTAAAACGCATCTCGGGACCTATACAGAAATATTTTTAAGTGTTATTTCATGTACTTTATTTTAATATATAATTTATGTAGCAGGCCCTGGGTAACCCAGTGGACTACCCCCACTATTAATGAAAGAAGAGACCCATTTCCCCCAGTAACTGGACGACACACAATTCCAGGTGTACAACAACAAACTTTATTGGCCACACTCGGCTTTATACTTTTCCCATGCAAGAGGTGGATCACACTCAACGACCATGTCCCCTCCCAAGGTCCTCCCCCTTCTGGGGGTCGCATAACGGAACCGGTACCCCAGTCTCTTTGTCTCCTGTTCCTGCCACTCCATGCCCCCTCTCAGGATCCACCCCTCTCAGGGCCTGTGCGTGTGACAGGAACTCCAGTCCCTTTGTCCCCAGTTCCCGCCACCCCTCCTCAGGATTTTCCACCTCTGGGGACAGGGGTTTTTCATCCCATGAGCCTCTGTACCTGGGAGCCCCAGCGTGGGAAAGCTTCCTGCCTCCTGGACTCCCAGTCACAGAAAGCATGCCAAACGGCCATTGTCCCTAAAGAGTGTCCCCACCAATCTCAGGGACCTCCAGAACAGCAACCGCCATGAACTGCCTCTGTTCTCGGGGTCCCTGGGTGAAACCAAGCGAGGGAAGCGCCTCCTTTCGGGACACGAATGCTCCCCATGGCCGCCCAGGGAAGCTCTCATTAATTATTTCCCTTGCGGTTTCACACTTATGTTGCAAGTTACCAACGTTCTTATTGATTAGTGTGAACTTTCCAAGGGGCACTGGGGAGGTCCTCATTCGGGAACCGAACGAATGCTCCTAGTAGACATCTAACAAACAGGCTGCCACCCAGGGTCGGCATGCGCCGAGGCTTCCTTCGTTCTAAATAGACATTCTAAATGATGTGTCAGGGTGCTCCTCGTGCGGAAGTCGAACAGAAACCATTCATATGAGCCTTTCGCGAATGGGGAGTAGGCAAAACACTGAACGCAGTACTGCCTACTGTGCAGCACTGCCCCAGGAAGCACCTCCAGTGGTATCCCTAGGGGGCAAAGTAAACACTGCTTTTTATCTGAAAAACAAAAACGTGTTTACATGAAAATTTATGCAGGGAATAATTATACTCACCAGAATAACTACTAAGCTAAGCTTTAGTTGTTCTGGGGACTATAGTGTCCATTTAAGTTAAGGGGGCAGAGAGAGGGCTGGATCATTAGAACGTACTATGGTGCCATAATTCTTTAAGGCCTCTATTTGTTGGACATCATAACACTTCCTAATGGCATTATGGTGCTAATATACTATGAGTGCAATAGCAGCACGCAGTGGTATACCACCAAGTGTAAATGTGCATTGCGCCACCCAAGAGTAGTGACATTGTGTGTATCAATATATGAACTAGCAGTAAAATAATGTGAATTAATTACTATTAATCTTGTCTACTAGAATATAACAGCGAATAATCAGCTAGCAGTAGCTGTAAAAGATTCTGTAGCCTCAAAGACAAAGAGTCACAGCTGTTTTTTTGTTTTTTTTAATTTACAAAGGGAAAGTATTTATTACACATTAACTGATTTCCTTGGCTGCTGGTTTACCTTCAGCCGTTACTGTCACTGTAATAAATTACTTAGAGCTTTCTATAGAAAAGAAACTTACTATAAGGAATAACAATTACAGTTTATACACTCTGAATATTATGTTCTAGAAAATATAGATTATCAGGAACTCTCAAAGGACCACTATAGTGCCAGGAAAACATACTCGTGCCCCCACTCTCAGGGACCCCCTCCCGCCGGGCTGGATGGCGAGGAAAGGGGTTAAACTTACCTTTTTTCCAGCGCCGGGCGGGGAGCTCTCCTCCTCCTCCTCCGATCCTCCTCTTCGGCTGAATGCGCATGTGCGGCAGGAGCTGCGCGCGCATTCAGCCAGTCTCATAGGAAAGCATTCATAATGCTTTCCTATGGAATCTTCTCACTGTGATTTTCACAGTGAGAAGCACGCAAACGCTAGTGGCTGTCAATGAGACAGCCACTAGAGGCTTTAGAGGCTGGATTAACCCATTTATAAACATAGCAGTTTCTCTGAAACTGCTATGTTTATAAAAAAAAAAGGGTTAACCCTAGAGGGACCTGGCACCCAGACCACTTCATTAAGCTGAAGTGGTCTGGGTGCCTAGAGTGGTCCTTTAAGGGTTAACAATCAGGAAGTTAAATCCTATGGTACAAACTGTCCGCCCCCTGGGTGTGGAATGTGGTTTAACACGCCCCACTACGTTCTGAGAAAAGACAAACATTCAGTTTCGTTTCTTGTTGCAGCTTTCAGTGATGGCATCTGCTGACCTGAGAGAGGAGCTGACCTGCTCCGTCTGCCTGAATATTTATACAGATCCTGTAACCCTTCCATGTGGACATAGCTTCTGCCAGGTCTGCATTGAGAATGTGCTGGACATACAGGGGGTGAGAAGATATTCCTGTCCTGAATGCAGACAATTATTTAATTCAAGACCGGACCTGCAAAGAGCACTAAGCTTGGCTAACATGGTGAAAAGTTTCCTATCTACTCACCCTGGACAGAAGGTGGTTGGGATCCCCTGTACTTACTGTACTCACTCTCCTGTACCTGCAGGAGAACATGTCCTAACTGAACCCACCATTTCACTGGGGAACAGAAAATGCTCCATCCACAAGAAGGTCCTGGAATATTACTGCTCTGAGGATGCCTCTTGTATTTTTGTGTCCTGCAGGCTAGCCGGAGAGCACACGGAACACCAGGTGGAGACTCTGAATGTGGCCTCTGAGAAGAAGGAGAAATTGAGAAATATTCTAGAGAAACTAATGTTAAGGAGAGAGGAGGCTGAAAAAAGAATAAAGAGCCTGTCGGAGCTCAAACGTGAAGTGCAAGAAAAAGCATCTGGGGTAACAGAGGAAGTAATTGCCCTGATTAGGGTCATCAGGGAATGGCTGAAAGCCCTAGAGACAGAGAGAGATGATATAAAGGCCTGGTCTGTAGGGGATCTGGGTTCGATCTCAGTGACCTTACACTCAGGCTTAGTTGGGATTGTGACCGTAGTAAAGAGACAGCGCCATGTATCAGCTAATATAATACTGGGAGTAGGATTAGCTTCAGATATGTTGCTAGATGTAAACACGGCTGGTAATAATGTCACCGTATCAGGTGACATGAAAACTGTATCCTGGTCAAAAATAAACCAGAGTCATCCAGAAACACCAGAGAGATTTCAGTTTAACCAGATTTTAAGCTCCAGGAGTTTCTCCTCAGGGCGACATTACTGGGAGGTGGATGGCAGTAAATCAGGGTGGTGGAGTGTAGGGGTGACCTATCCCAGTATAGACAGGAAAGGAGTTCATTCAGTAATTGGATGTAATAACAAGTCCTGGTGTATGTACAGGGGGGATAATAATCTGTATCATATGATACATGACAGTAACATAATCAAGTTAACTCTCAGCGCATCCAGCCAAAGATTAGGTTTATACCTGGACTATGAGGCTGGGCGGCTGTCCTTTTATGAGCTCCGTGACACGATCAGACACTTACACACGTTCACTGCCACCTTCACTGAGCCGCTTCATGCTATATTCAGGGTGTATGGGGATAATGCATGGCTGAGAATTTCATGCACTGAACAATGTATTAATCTTGATTAAAGAGATTTAACTGAAAAACCCTGAATGGGAATCAGAAAGCAGTAATCCCTATCTGGGTGTGGGTGGAGACTAAGCAAGCGCTTCTCTGCGTGTCACCCTGTATGTGACTGTGGGGTGTATTTACTAAACAGTGATGTTTACAGACTTTAAAACATTACAAAATTCAAATCAAACATTTCCGCAGTTCAATTATAGTCACAGCTTAGCCATGTCTCCTGAATTATACATTTTGTTTTTTTAGTTCACCATAATTCACTGTTTGCTGACTAAACCCATGGGTGTATATGCAAGTGTTTGTGTGTTGTTTGATTGTGAAGAGACTTATAGTTTATTGTATCTGGTATGCCAACACAAGGCAGCCTCTGAAACTGGTAGCTGTTCTGGACTTTAACTCTCAGCATGTGTGTTATGGCTGCATCATGTGTGTGAGTGTGTGCTACTATGTGTGTGTCACTCATAGCGAGTGTTACTATGTGTGTCACTTTGTCATTGTGTGTGTTAATACGTGTTATGGGTGATTGTTATTGTATATTAGCTGACTGGGTGTGATGGGAGTTGTAATGAGCTATGTCATTTTAATAGGTCAAGCTCTTTGTATAATATTTTTATATTTTACTGGATGGGCTTTACTAAAATAGTGTTTGTAATATTATGAATGCTTATAATGAACAGATAATGAAATTTATCCAATAAATCAATGTACATATAGAAACGATCTGAGAAAATGGGGTGGGATTTTAACCCCTTAAGGACCAAACTTCAGGAAAGAAAGGGAATCATGACATGTCACACATGTCATGTGTCCTTAAAGGGTTAAACTAGATGCCATGTATAGAGCACACTGTGATTTATTATTTATCTAAAGACTTTCTATATTTTTAACTAATCTTTCCAAGATTTCAAGTGGACAATGAAGGACACTTTAATTTTAGTGGTGTGAGTGGGGGGTGTAGCTGTACTGAGAGGGATTTAGACCCAAATTGTCCCTTTTAAATAGGGACACTTGAGAGGTTTGGTTTTAAGAATGTTAACTATATACAATGTGACTGGATCTGCATGAAGCATTGTAATCTGAGAATTTCAATAAAATCTTTTTTGTGGGAATTTGCTGTCACTTTGTGATCCTTATTCTAATCGATATGAGTGAAATGAAAACAGCCAAATTAATAGAAATTCCACTGTTTTCCTATTATTTAACATTACTAAATCTGTTACTGAAAAAACAGACTGGACAATATTTTTCATGTAGAAAATAAAAGATTTGTTAAAAAAATAACAAAAATCCAATACTCTGAGATTAGATTTATTTCATGCAGGGATGGCTGGTGAAGTTTAAAGGGATCCTATAGTGCCAGGAAAACAAACCCATTTTCCCTGGCACTATAGATTTAATGCCCCCCCCCCCCTCCCTCATGCCCCCTCCCGCAGGGCTGAAGAGGTTAAAACGTTGTCCCTCGGCGCTGGGTCAGGCTCCACCCACGCCCCTCCTCCGCGCACATCCTCCCCATAGGAAAGTATTATTGAAAATCTGACACTGGAGGTCTGTGAGGATGTCCATCGTCAGATAACAGACCAAAAGTCACTTTGGATTCCGAAAGCGCCCCCAGTGGCTGTCTGGTAGATAGCCACAGAGGGCAGACTTAGTGCTGTAATGTAAACATTCTAGTTTCTCTGGAACTGCAATATTTTACATTGCGGCACTAAGTGCAATAGGGACAAAGCGCCCAGACAACTTCAATTAGCTGAAGTGGTCTGGGTGCTTACAGTGACCCTTTAAGATGATGGGGCGCTAGACTACAACCCTGGAATTTCACTCCATCTCCCCTCTCTGGAAGCCCCACTCACTGGTCTAAACCAGCATCTAATGGGTTATATAGCAAGTGCTTTATAAACCAGAAAACAGAGTGCAGATAATGGGTTAAATGACAAGTGTTCCATAAACCAGAATACAATGAGTTAACCCCTTCGTGCTGGAGGATGCATCCTGTATGTAGGACTTTTGTCTTAGATACATAAAAATGCATGCGAGGCACACACACACGGCAGGTGCAAGGATTTTTGGGAACAGAGGTGAAGGTGAATTTGGCCTCCATGATTTGCAACACCCCCCGCCCCTACCAAAAAAAGTAAGCATCTTCACCTGTTTAGCCAGCCTTTTGTTTCTTATCCCCCTTTTTTAAATGTCTTACCCCCTGTGAAGAAATGACTCCGTTAACCAGGATTTCTACCTTTTGTTGTACAGTTAATTCACCAAACTCAGCTGGAATTCGGCATATAGCTTTCATTTCTACCCTTCGGATGGATTCAGGCGAATTCCCTGTGTAAAATATAGATGGCCGCCATTTCGGCACTTTACACGTGGCCGCGGCCATTTTACGTGCGAACAGCGGTGTTTGCCCGTCAACGCGTGGAACTAAAATCGGATACGCAAACAGGCGAACACCGCTGAGACCTCCATACATCCAGAACTTCGCACGGGAACGACCGAATCACCGGCCGTTCGGTAGTTACATGCAACTTCGTATGGGGATTTCAACGATCACAAAGATGCGAATGGATGGCAGGGCTTTCGTCTCTTTTATTCGCCTAAACGGAGACCGACCGCAGGGCCAAAACTTATGGAACTATTTTCGGCTAGATGGTCCGTGCGGTCGGTCAAAACTTTAGTGTTCCATAACTCCCGAACCATCCATCCGAATGGACTGATTTTTTGATATGTTGTCCCCACAAATGAGAACTATCCAGCGGTACCCAATTTAAAGGTGTACCCCCTGTTTTTGGGGTACATCCAGAACTGGGGTAAAATAGTGCACGTTTTAATTAAGTTAACTGTTTATCAGAGGGGAGGGAGGTATGGGCTGTAACCTATACCTGATTGGTGATTTAATGCCTCCCCCTGGGTGTGTATTTCTTGTCTGTAACCTTAATAAAAAGCAGGCTGGAGATTCCAGACCTCAGATCTACTTGTATCCTGATTCTGGACTCTGACTGTTATTTGGGAATTCGTATGCTTTACCAAGGGGATTATCTTGGGAAGCTGTTATATTTCTTATGGACTTCATTGCTTAGAACTACCTTAGACGCTGGCATTGCAGGAGGAATTATCAAAGCGGTTCAGCTATACTTGATTTCCTTACAACTGGTGGCAAGCGGAGGGATTCGAATCCCAAATGGACATTTCAAAACAAGCAAAGGAATGAATGGCTCAGCAGTACCAGCTACTTAAAAGAACCACGCTAAAGGACTTACTGGAAGCTCGAGGCAGAGTGGCAAGTAACAAAACAAAAGCCACGTTAATTGCGGAGCTAATGCAGAGCGATAATACCAGTAATATAGAGATGGATCAAGAGGAAGAAACCGTGATGCAAAAGGACATCCGATGGACACTCAGTTTATTGGGACCCAATCCATCCTCAGAGGCAATACTGCAGGTCAGAGCACAAGCTCGCACCGGACGCACCGTCGCTGTAAGGGTGGCTGGGGGCGCTATTCACAAACTGCCCACCGCTAATATGCTTGTTGATTGGGGTTCCGGGTCTAAACAACTGGAGGTGGGGATTATGCAAGAACTGCCCGCCGAGGTTTTGTTGGGAAATGATGTGGGATGCCTAACCTCTCAACTAGCCCGAGACCCCCCTGCCGAGGCCTACCCGGTTACCACCCGAGCTCAAGCCAGACTGGAAGCTCCGCTGCACTCTGAGGAAAACCAGGTAAGATTCGAAATACCTCCCTTACCCGATCCCCCCGTACCCTTCTGGGATACCCCCCAGGGGTTTGAACAGGAACAGCGTACTGAACCCACATTAGAAGGCTATAGGAAGGCCGCGGCCGCTACCCCCGAGAACAACCCGCACGAAAAATTTGAGTGGTATAAGGGGTTGCTATATAGGGTAACCGAGGGGGTGGGACAGGGGGCTACCCAGGTCATAAAAAGACAGTTAGTTGTGCCCCGTAAATTTCGGGCTGAGTTGTTAAAACTCAGTCATGACATTCCCCTAGCAGGACATTTAGGGGTCAAAAAGACCAGAGACAGGTTAACTCAAACCTTCTTCTGGCCCAGAGCCACCCAGGACCTTAAGTACTATTGCAGGACATGTGATGTATGCCAAAGGGTAGGGAAAAGGGGAGACCTTCGGAAGGCTAAGCTGCACCCCCTACCCATCATCGAACAGCCCTTCCACCGAGTAGCGGTGGATTTAATAGGACCCCTCAGTCGCCCCAGCCCGTCGGGCAAAAAGTTTATCCTAACGGTGGTCGACTACGCCACTAGATACCCGGAGGCAGTCGCCCTCACCAATATAGAGGCCGAGACCGTGGCAGAGGCCCTTATTCAGATATTCACCCGAGTAGGTTTCCCGCAGGAGATACTCTCCGATCGGGGGACGCAGTTCACAGCTACCCTGACGCAACAACTGTGGCAGAGCTGTGGAGTGCAACCCCTGTTCAGCGCCCCGTATCATCCCCAGACTAACGGGCTCTGTGAACGTTTCAATGGCACTCTAAAACAGATGCTAAAAACTTTTACAGAGTCCCACAAGAATTGGGAAAAATTCCTCCCCCACCTTCTGTTTGCCTACCGTGAGGTGCCCCAGGCCTCCACTGGGTTTTCCCCCTTCGAACTCCTGTACGGGAGAAAAGTTCGGGGCCCACTGGAGCTCGTACGGGAACACTGGGAGGGCAATACAGATGAGGGGGGAGTCCCTATCGTCCAGTATGTCCTGGAGTTCCGGGACCGTCTGCGGGCCCTCACCGAATCGGTTCGGGAGAACCTGCAGGCGGCCCAGGAGGACCAGAAAAAGTGGTACGATAGGAGGGCCCAGGATAGAGTGCTGGACTTAGGGCAGAAGGTACTGGCTCTGAGGCCAGTTAAAAAGGACAAGCTGCAAGCAGCCTGGCAGGGACCCTTTAAGGTAGTGGAACAGGTTAGCGAGACTACCTACATCGTGAGCAAATGCTCAGATGAAAGGCTGACCAAAGCCTTCCATGTGAACATGCTCAAACCATATTTTGAAAGAACAGAGGAGGTGGGCGCCGTGTGCGCCCCCGCCACAGAGGATAGTGAAGGGCTACCCCTTCCTGACTTACTGGATACCACCCCCTGTACTATTGACCAAGTAAGCTTGGGTCAAAATTTAGACCTCCTGGAGAAAGGGGAGGCTACTCAACTGCTGCAGGGATACCGAGAGATGTTTTCCGCTACCCCCGGCTATACCTCCGCTGCGGTACACCGTGTGGAAACCCAGGGAGAGACGCCCCTACGGCAACAGCCATATCGGATCCCAGAAGCAGTACGTGAGAGTATGCTCACCGAGTTAAGGGATATGTTACGGCTAGGGGTAATAGAACCCTCCCAAAGTCCTTGGGCCTCCCCGGTGGTACTAGTACCGAAGCGCGACGGCACTACGCGCTTCTGTGTAGATTACCGGAGGCTTAACGACCGTACCATAACCGATGCCTACCCCATGCCTAGAATAGATGAGCTCTTAGACCGTATGGCGGGGGGGAACTACTTGACTACCCTGGACCTGTGCAAGGGTTATTGGCAGATCCCCTTGGAGCCTGCGGCCATCCCTCAAGTCGGCGTTCGTCACCCCGTTTGGGCTATACCAATTCAAGGTGATGCCCTTTGGGATGAAGAACGCCCCGGCTACGTTTCAGCGGATGGCGGATAGGCTCCTGGAGGGGTTTCAGGACTTCGCATGTGCGTATCTAGATGATATTGCCATCTATAGCCGCACATGGGGAGACCATCTAGGTCATGTGTCCAGGGTACTCGAACGAATCCACCTCGCAGGGCTCACTTTGAAACCCGACAAATGTCACGTAGGCCTAGCCGAGGTCCAGTATCTAGGCCACCGGGTCGGCTCCGGTAGACAACGCCCAGAGCCCGCTAAGGTAGAGGCCATAGCTAACTGGCCCCAACCCCGGACCAAAACCCAGGTACTGGCTTTCTTAGGGACGGCCGGGTATTATAGAAAGTTCGTCCCAGAATATAGCGCCCTGGCCAAGCCCCTCACGGACCTTACCAAAAAGGCTCTTCCCAAACAGGTCTTCTGGACCCCAGAGTGCACGGACGCTTTCCAGAAGCTCAAAGCGGCATTGAGTGAGGCCCCTGGGTTGGCAGCACCCGATTACACTAAACAATTTCTTGTCCACACAGATGCCTCCATGTTTGGGCTGGGAGCCGTGCTAAGCCAGGTGGGGGCGGATGGCATGGAACACCCGGTGGCATACCTCAGCCGTAAACTTTTGCCCCGAGAAGTCAGCTATGCCACCGTAGAAAAAGAGTGCTTGGCCCTCGTGTGGGCCCTCAAGAAACTTCAGCCCTCTCTGTATGTGCGAGCGTTTACCCTTATGACCGACCACAACCCCCTGGTATGGCTCAACCGGGTAGCTGGTGACAACCCCAGGCTACTCCGGTGGAGCTTAGCTCTCCAACCATACAATTTTACCATGCAGTACCGTCCGGGTAAACAAAATGGGAATGCGGATGGTCTGTCCCGCCAGACCGAACTGGACACCTAAAAACGTACTTTCATCGGACATCCCCAAGCCAGCCCGACAGGGTCTAGGCGGGTATGCCGACCTATGGACTTATAGGGGAGCAGTGTGAAGAAATGACTCCGTTAACCAGGATTTCTACCTTTTGTTGTACAGTTAATTCACCAAACTCAGCTGGAATTCGGCATATAGCTTTCATTTCTACCCTTCGGATGGATTCAGGCGAATTCCCTGTGTAAAATATAGATGGCCGCCATTTCGGCACTTTACACGTGGCCGCGGCCATTTTACGTGCGAACAGCGGTGTTTGCCCGTCAACGCGTGGAACTAAAATCGGATACGCAAACAGGCGAACACCGCTGAGACCTCCATACATCCAGAACTTCGCACGGGAACGACCGAATCACCGGCCGTTCGGTAGTTACATGCAACTTCGTATGGGGATTTCAACGATCACAAAGATGCGAATGGATGGCAGGGCTTTCGTCTCTTTTATTCGCCTAAACGGAGACCGACCGCAGGGCCAAAACTTATGGAACTATTTTCGGCTAGATGGTCCGTGCGGTCGGTCAAAACTTTAGTGTTCCATAACTCCCGAACCATCCATCCGAATGGACTGATTTTTTGATATGTTGTCCCCACAAATGAGAACTATCCAGCGGTACCCAATTTAAAGGTGTACCCCCTGTTTTTGGGGTACATCCAGAACTGGGGTAAAATAGTGCACGTTTTAATTAAGTTAACTGTTTATCAGAGGGGAGGGAGGTATGGGCTGTAACCTATACCTGATTGGTGATTTAATGCCTCCCCCTGGGTGTGTATTTCTTGTCTGTAACCTTAATAAAAAGCAGGCTGGAGATTCCAGACCTCAGATCTACTTGTATCCTGATTCTGGACTCTGACTGTTATTTGGGAATTCGTATGCTTTACCAAGGGGATTATCTTGGGAAGCTGTTATATTTCTTATGGACTTCATTGCTTAGAACTACCTTAGACGCTGGCATTGCAGGAGGAATTATCAAAGCGGTTCAGCTATACTTGATTTCCTTACAGCCCCTTTAGGGTATCTCATCCCCTATTTTTCCCTATTGTGTGTCTTACACCTCCCTTGTGTATCTCTTACAACCCCCCTTTGTGTGTCTTACTGCCCCCAGCCCCTTTGTGTCTTTTACTCTTTCCAGCTCCTCTGTGTTACATAGTTACATAGCTGAAACGAAACTTGCATCCATCAAGTTCAGCCTTTCTCACCCCCAGCCCCTCTGTGTCTCTTTTTCCTCTTCTCCAGCCCCTCTGTGTCTCTTTCACCCCCTGCCCCTTTGTATTTCACCCCCAGGCCCATCTGTGTGTCTTTTTTCCCACTCAGGCCTCCCTGTGTGCCACTCTCCCCTCCATGTCCCTTAGTGTTCCTCTGCCCTTCATGTCCTTTAGTGGTCCTCTCCCTTCCCCTTCATGTTCTTTAGTGGTCCTTTTCCCTGTCCCTGTCACGGCCCCCGGCTCGTGGTCGCACCCAATTGGTGCGACTACACTAAGAAATTATTTGTGCAGCAGCGAACCAGGAACCATATTGTTGGGGCGTCTGTCCCCTTCACACGCGGGAGCCAAGATAGCGCAGACCGCAAGGTTGCATCCATTTGTAGCCCCGCCTCCAATAGTCACGCAAACATGCGTGTGACGTCACAACGTCGATGCACACGCACTTTCTGGGGTCAGAGGACAAGCTCTGCCCAATCACAGCCTAAGGAGGATTATTTAAACCCCAGAATACTTCAGCTCATTGCCCTGTCATGGTTTCCGTTCCTGGTTTCCGAGAGTGAGTTGTTCTGATCTTGTTATTGATAGTCTTGGTATTTAACTTTGGCTACTCCTGGCTATTCTAATTTCTGGTTTCCCTGACTTGGTTTTCCTATCGATCTTTTGTATTTCCCGCTCCCTTGACCTCAGCTTTCCCTTGACTTTTTTTCTCTATTTTTTAACGTATTAACCCGGCCATTCTAAGGACCAGTTTACATTCTGTCTGGTTTTCTATTCTATGTAGAGGTTATATAGTTTTGCGTGTTGGATCACATAGTTGTTGTGACAGTCCCTTAGTGGTCCACTCCCCTCCCTTCCTTGTCCCTTAGTGTTCCTCTCCCCTCCCCTGTCCCTTAGTGTTACTTTCCCTCCCTCCCCTGTCCCTTAGTGTTACTCTCGCCCCCTTACCTGTCTCTTAGTGTTTGTGACGGTAATCACTGTCACTGGGGATGTAAAACAGACACTATTTCTGGATCCCCAGATTCCTTTTGTGTTTTGGTCACCCTGTGCCCATTATTTGTGCAGGGTATGTTAAATGTCTGCGCCTCTCTGCGCTTGTCTGCGCCTCTCCTCCTCCCCCTTTTTCCTGTCCTATTGTTTAACCAGCAGGTTGTTGTTCCAGGGACACTGCCAGTTTAAACTAGCTGCCCTGTCCCTCCTGAATCTCCCATCAATCCTTGCTATTGTCTGACCCCACCCTTCCTTGTACTATAGTTCTCTATGTACCTTATTGTATGTAAATGAGGCTGTTTGGAGCTTAAAATATGTGCACTATGTCTATTAAAGTTGTTGTTTTAGCCTTCACCAATTGACGTCTGGTGTTTGGTTAAAGAGCCCTGATTACTGCTCTGCTGATGGAAAGGGTGTCCAGGGCTATATTCTTGTAGTAGCCTGGTCCAGGGTGGACAAGGCCCTCAATGATCCCAGTCAAGCATCTGCGACTAGGTCTGAAGTGCTCCAAGGTCCCTGATAGCTATGAGGAAGTGGACTTGGCAGAGGTACTCTAGTGGAGTACTGGAGCGCCGTCAAGTGTTCTTCTCCCCTCTCCCTTAGTGTTCTTTTTCTCTTCCCTCCCCTTACCTGTCTTAGTGCCCACCCATTCCCCTTAATGTTCCTTTCTATAGAAAATAAACTTACTATAAGGAATAACAATTAATTGCAGTTGATACACTGAATATTATGTTCTAATCTAGAAAATATAGATTATCAGGAACTCTTAAGGGTTAACAATAATGAAGTTAAATCCTATGATTCAAACTGTCTGCCCCCTGGGTGTGGAATGTGGTTTAACACGCTGCACTACGTTCTGAGAAAAGACAAACATTCAGTTTCGTTTCTTGTTGCTGCTTTCAGTGATGGCATCTGCTGACCTGAGAGAGGAGCTGACCAGCCCCGTCTGCCTGAACATTTATACAGATCCAGTAACCCTGCCATGTGGACATAGCTTCTGCCAGGTCTACATTAAGAATGTGCTGGACATACAGGGGGTGAGAAGATATTCCTGTCCTGAATGCAAAGAGCACTAAGCTTGGCTAACATGGTGAAAAGTTTCCTATCTACTCACCCAGGACAGGAGTACATTTTTGTGTACACTCATGTATTACTGTGGTTGAGTGCTGCCATACTAAACACCTTAATACTTCTATAGCGCTCACACATTGTTGTTTTTGTCATTACTATCAAATGTTAGAGACCACCCTCTCCTCACATTTGCTAGCAACATTCCAACATATGATCTCCACAACAAATGCCCCATCTGACATGCTAACTGCTCACATCACGACTCTTCCCAGACCGGGGAAAACACCAGACATTGGACAGAATTTGCCTCCTATATCATTATTAAATACAGATATTAAGATTTTTGTAAAAATACTTGCGAACAGACTGGCCTTAATACTACCCACAATTATTAATGATGATCAAGTGGGCTTCATACGAAGGAGACAGGGGATGATGGAACAAGAAAGATACTGAACCTGCTTCATACGCTGCGTGGAGGGGGGGGGAATGATAGTGTATTCCTCTCACTTGACACTGAAAAAGCATTTGCTCTACCTCTACGCTGTCTTAAAGAAGTTTGAATTCCCACAAATGTTCATGGTGGTGGTCGGTGCCTTATACAGTAACCCAGAAGCAGAGGTGATCAACAGCGGGTTTGCCTCGGAGCTATTCCTGATCTTAAATGGATCCAGACAGGGGTGCCCGCTATAACCCCTGCTGTACGTGCTGGCCCTAGAGCCCCTTGCCTCTACTATTCTGGATAGCTCGGACGTACATGGTATAAAAATGCATGATCAGGAATACAAACTCACGCTTTTTGTGTATGATGTCCTCCTCACTATGACAAAACCACACATCTCACTACCGGCATTCCCCACACTGCTATGCAACTAAAGCCAATGCTCATATTACAAATTGAATGTACACAAAACACAGGCCATGGGGATCAGTATCCCAAAGACAATATGGGGATTAAAAAATAACTACCCATTTGATTAGAGAACAGACAATCTAACCTTTTTAGGCATTACATTTACACAGCACACACAACACCTATATAAAGCAAATTATCTAAAACTGCAAGCAGACATTAACCCCTTAAGGACCAAACTTCTGGAATAAAAGGGAATCATGACAAGTCACACATGTCATGTGTCCTTAAGTGAGATCATGGCAGGTAAATTCCTCTCCTGGCCGGGACGCATCGCTCCAATCTAAATGGTTATTATTCCCAAATTGCAGTATCTTTACCGAACTCTACCAATTGCCATCCCAGCCTCCTACCTCAAGGATAGCCAAAAAATTATAAACAACTTCATATGGGCAAACAAAATCCCACAAATAGCTGCACACACATTCTATAACAAATTCACCCACAGAGGACTGAACCTCCCCAATATAAAATTTTACTGCCAAGCGGCAATTAGCTCCATAGTGCCGGCACAAACACAACACCACCCACCACAATGAGTACGCATGGAAGAAGTAGCTACGCAGGGGCATACCATCTTGACATTACTATGGTTACTGTAACAAGAACCCTCTGTAGTTGCAGTAGTTATAGTGGTTTTTCCCTTCCCTACAGTGATTATGGTGTGTTTCTCTTTTCTGTTTTTTTTTTTTATTGCAACAAGGACACGTCCCTGGACTTCGTTTTCCCCTTTGTCATTGCTGGATTTTGTATGCCCTGATGTGTTCATTAGCGGGTTCGGTAAATTAAGACTTTAATTCGAACAGGATTATATTGTTAAAGTAGCCTAACAAAATGTCGAACGACCGACCACCATGCATGTGGAGTGTGCTGCGGGTTAACCACCCAGAAGCTGTGGTTAACCGCAGCCTAACTGACGCTAGGCTGGGTGGTCGTCGTTCGTATGGACGAACACGTGGCGGCAGCCATCTTGTGTAGCCAAACGAGGGACTTCCATATTCCGTGCGTTCAGCTAAATCCACACGAAAAGAGCGCTATTCAGGGAGAACAATCTACAGAACGAGACGCATCTAATGGAGTAAAGCACGAACCGTTCGTACAATTTATACATTATGTGAATGAGAAGATAGACCGGCCGCATAGCCTAATTCTCTGGAACTCTTTTGGGCATGAAATCAAGCGTGCGGTCGGTCAAATGTGACTTTCACAGAATTCGGGAATCCCTGCTCTGATCTGAGTGATTTTCGGATATGTTGTTCACCCAGATCAGCTCTATCCAGGGATGTATAATTTATGGGAATATGTTTGAGTTTTGGGGTGTTTCTGAACTTTGGGTAAAAATGGGTATTTTGTGCCTGTGGATAATTAAATTATTCCATTAGCTATCTTAATTATATCACAGGCAGAGGGGAGGGATTGCTGACTGTATGTGGGAGTGTTACAGTAACAATTATTGTTCCTATTGATTTCTGTTCCTTTTGTCCCTGTGTTTCATTAGGTCCACAGGGTGTACCTCTGGCCTAAAAATGTGTATAAAAGAAATGCATTTTGCTCAATAAACCAGACCTTCTTACCCTCAACTTGCAGCCTTGTCTCGTGGTCTAGGGAACAGCTATAATTGCTATATCACCGCTAGCTCTTGTAATAGCTCCCTTCAGCTATACTAGCTCTCCAGGATATCGGGTTGGAACCCTGCAGCGCTCTCCATCTATGGGAAGGAGGATGTCCAGATGGTAGATACCCTCACTCTATAAAGGTAACGTCACAGTTATCAAAACACCTCAGGCCAAAAAAGGTTCCAATGCTACCTACAACTGCCATGACCATCACTTGTAGACATATACATAGCACTCAGGACCTATACTCGCTAGCCATGACAATCTCTGCACTGAGATCTACCATCTCAGACTTCAACCACAAAATATGGGACAGGCACCATAACAGGTTTCTGTCTCAACTGTTTTTCGCACCTTACAAGACAAGTATAATCTCCCATCGATAGCACATTTCTCGTATAGGCAAATACAATTGGGGATTCAGGGACAACATAAATACAGAAAGGAAATCGTACATGAGCAGCAGCTAACGAGCTTAAAAAAAATCTTGGTAAAACAAAAACCGGCAATTAAACTCATTTCTGTACTTTATTCCAATGTGATCGATTACAATTGTGCCCTAGCATGGGAAAAAGACCTAAACCACTGGCTTCAAGACACCACTTGGAAAAAAATATTTACAGCACACAAACAGTTAACACTCTGCACTAACCACATTGAGCTCTTTAGGGAAATACTCTACAGATGGTACCTGGTACCGGCCTGTCTTAAGCATATATATATCCAAATGCGTCTGGTACTTGCTGGAGAAGCGGAAAAGAGCAAGGCACAATGCTCCACATTTGGTGACACGGTACAAAACTACAGCAGTTTTGGGAAAAAGTAGCACAACATAAAACACAAGCCTTGGAATTCCTATTCCACATACACCAGAATGCCTCCTGTTACAAAACTACCCACCAAAGCTTTCCTTTACAACTAGGAACTTGATGTACCACATTAATATAGCTGCACTCACGTTACTTAGCAGACACTGACGTAACGAAAAAGTGCCCGACTTATCACAATGTATACACCTTGTTAACAACGAATAAAATATATGAAAGTTCTCTTAGAGCAAACACAGGGAAAAAACAAACATAGATAACAACAAGAATGGGAAACATGGGGCAAAGGACACAATACTTCAAACAATGGTCATACTCCAGGAATGCAACTCATCACTGACGACTAATGGTCCTTTTTCCATTTGTTTCTTTTTTTATATATATATAAAAAGTTGAGAAGACTTGCCAGCTGCGCTCATACAGGGATATTAATGTACAATTACGAATGATGTTGTGGAGCCCGAATACCATGTCAATAACGTGTCTATATTCGCAATTGTGGTACTGAACATGCATAGCTCATAAGATAAAATAGACATGTTGTACAATATAGAAGTTATCACACACAAAAGAATATTAACAGTGAATGTCATGACAACCCTCTATAGATGGGTTTCTGACGTATGATGCAAACTTGACTCTATTAACCGACAAAGCTTCGACCCACAAGAATCCTTCCCAAAACAACCCCCCCACCATCCTCTCTGCCTCCTCCCTGTTAATGTTATGTTATGTTCAATTTCACAATGTAATGTTTCAGTGCATGTGAACCAGTGACTCACGCACAAACTTAACCTTATGCCTACAAACATGTCTGTTCAACCATGATATCGCTCTGATCATTGTGGAATTTCTTGATAAAATGCATAAAAAATAAATAAATTCAATGTTTGACTTCAATATGAAGTGTGTTATATGTTTGGAGTGCTCCTTTAAACTTCTGCGTTACCATGTGTGAGTCCATCCAGTCTTGAGAAGTAAGCTGAGAGAGTCAGCCTCTAACTCTCAGCCTGGGATATCTCTACTCTTCAAAAGTAAGAAAAAAAATGAATTTAATAGGGATAGTTAGATAACTCCTGCAGCAGCATGTAGGTTGGGCTGTGCAGTTGCTTTAATATTGTTTATTATTTTAACATCAAATGACAAAGTGTACACAAAGTTAATGGAAAGACACAATATCATCGCCCATCCACAATCACATACAACATGTGAATCACAAAGAATACCATCCCTAGCTGATGGGACAGTCTGCTGGAGTAATTCTGGAACACCAGTATTAAAGGGACTCTGCAGTGTCAGGAAAACATATCCCTTTTCCTGGCACTGCAGGACGCTGCAGTACCCCTCTCCCTCCCTCGTACCTCATCCCATGTTGCTGAAGGGGTTAAAACAAGCCGGAAACAAAATCCACCTTCAAGAATAAGTTCACAAGGATCCAATCTCCCACCCGCATCCAGAACCCCTCAAGTTGGGGGTGTGGGTTTTAAAAAGGAAAGACTTCAACAATTAGGCCTTCCAGAAGCAGTGGTCAATACCCTTTTGCAGTCTAGGAAGGGTTCTACTTCATTGTGCTACCATAGAATCTGGGATATATTCAAAGAATGGGCATCGGCCAAGAACATTGACTTCTTGCAATCTTGCAATACTCAGATCCTGGATTTCCTCTAAGAAGGTCTGGACAAAGGCCAAGCCTCAGCACTCTTAGTTAGATTTCAGTCCTCGTCTCTTTCAGCATTATTTATTTATTTATAAAATATTTTTATTTATAAAATATTTTAGCAGGATAGATACATTGAGATTTCTCTCGTTTTCAAGTATGTCCTGGGTTATGCAATATCTCATGGGCTTCGGATGCTTTAATCTCAAGATTCCTCTAGGCAGCTTTCAGGTTGAAACCTCCTTCCAGATCCGGTACCCCTCCTTGAGACCTTCCTCTTGTTCTGAACTACCTGACTGATGATCTGTTTCTTCCACTTGAAAATTTGGATACTACTACATTTGTCATATATTTTCTCAATTTGGCCATAATTATAGATTCATATAGCCCAATACATACCAAAACCAAACAGAAAATAGGAAAAAATGGATATAAATCCCTAGCCGTGATTAACATGCAGGTTTATAAGACAAATAATTAATCACTAATTAAACTATTAGCGTGGCCAGCCTCACAACTAGCCATTGTAGAGATAATTTCAACATATGGATAAAACCTCATGAATAAGGGTCTGAAAAGAAAAATTAAACCTACAAAAGGCCCCCTAATGTCAAAGGTAAGAACACAGATATGGGGAAAGAATAGACCCAGAAGTGGATTGTGAGTTTGAGGTTACAAAATAGGATGAGGGGGAATAAATGCATTCGGAGGAGTTCAAGTCTGGAAGAATTGTGCAAATCCTAATTTTATAGTAAGGTGTTATAAAAACTTAAGGTAGCAAGCTTATTACAGTCCTGATTGCAAAATGTTCGCAGTACACCGAATACCGTAGACTATGGCTTAATCTTTGGAAATTGCTTCTAAACAATGAAAGGAAAGCTGTAAGATATATCTGCACACAGCACAATACAAAAACAATATTTGGGAATCAGCTAAGCATCTAACGAGGAAAACAAATACACCAAACATAGTAAAGTATAGTATGGTACAACAAGAAATGCACTCACAGTGTGTATCGCCAGGTAAAAGCTGGAGGGCTATCACCTTTTGGTTCCTCCTGCTGCGGGTAGGATCCATGATAAATCAGAAGACCAGGATATCTTTCTCCATGCTTCAATTATCTGCTCATAGGTAATGTTCTATAACTAGAAAAAAATAAAAAGAGGACTCAACAAAAACAAAATTATACATATAGATGCATACATAATAGCACATATATTACAGAAGTTAAAAAATGCATATATCCCAAACTCTACACCTCTGGATGTGACATATTTTGAGCTGCAAAAGCCTAGGTCCTAATAAGAGAACCTGAATGACCATTTCCATTGCATAGCATTTATGGCCTACATGTGCGATAAAAATCAAACCAACTGCTGGTTTACACAATGTCTAGACTCCCCCAGGTGTGATTGAGATGTCACAATCTCACTGTAAAGCCATACACACGACATGAAGCCCAGCCTCTGTGCACAGCACATGCTGACTAGTGGAAGACTGATAATATATGTAAAAAAAAAAAAAAAAGTCTGTTTGATCTGGTTGTAGCACCATTGTAGTGGGTGCAGCTCATTCCAAAATGGAAACACAGAAATCATAAATAAAACTGTCCATCTATATTGTGGCCATTTGAGCTTATTTTAAAGCGTAGGCCTGGACTAGCTACTCCAGCGACACCTACAGGTGATACTCGAAAAATTAGAATATCGTGCAAAAGTTTATTTATTTCAGTAATGCTACGTAAAAGGGGAAACTAATATATGAGATAGACGCATTACATGCAAAGCGAGATAGTTCAAGACGTGATTTGTCATAAGTGCGATGATTATGGCTTGCAGCTCATAAAAACCCCAAATCCACAATCTCAGTAAATTAGAATATTGTGAAAAGGTGCAATATTGTAGGCTCACAGTGTCCCGCTCTAATCAGCTAAGTAAGCCATGTAACGGATCACCTGGCACCCCGACTGGGTACCTCAGTTGATGGATGCTCTAGTACTTCCTGAGGGCTCCAAGCACTCCACTCGACACCATAAGCACTGCAGACCGAACCTCTCTTTCTTAAGAGAGCGAAGGAGGAACAAGTTCTTAAAAGAGCTTAGTGATTATAGCCAGGGGAATATACTGCGTATAGCAATCCCCAGTGTAGATTCAGCCTTTTCCCCCCCACACTTGAGACGAGGCTCTTTGTTGAGGGTAAAACAGAAACTCATCAGTCTGAGGGTTTATTGTCTTATATGCAACTTTTCTCACAAGGTTACCACCCACATGGTCTTGTGGAACAGCCAATCAAACACAATACAATACAGTCAGACACTCCCAGTTAGGACACACAAACCCTCCCCTCTGCCTGTGATATAATTACTGAACACAATGGGTTAACTTAATTATCACAGGCAGAAAATATACAGTTATACACAATATTCATAACTTCCAAACCATGCATGCAATTCACACAAAAGTCACATATTCTCAACCAGCATAACATATGTCAAAATTATACAAATTGGTCCAGTGGTTCAAAAGTTAAGTGGAAGTCCTATTTGACCGATTGCAAGCATGGCTTTCCTTCCCAAAACAGTTCCACAGATTCAGGCTGTGTAGCCGGTTGTGACGGACCGCTGGCACTCCGACCGAGTACCTCTGCCAATCGATGCTCCTAGCGCTTGCCGAGGACTCCAAGCACTCCAACCGACACCATCAGCACTGTGGACCCCACTTCCAGCGATGCAGCTGTGCTGGAGTCTCGCCGTCTCTCACCCACCCTGGATCCACAGCCAGGATCCAGCTCCCAGTAGGTGAACCTCTCCTAAATCCAGAGAGCGTAGCAGGAACAAATCAAGCTCTTACAAGAGTTTACTCTGGGGAGTAAGTGATTATAGCAATCCCCAGAGTGTAGGTATCTCTTCCCCCAAGCATGAGCCAAGGCTTCAAGAAAGGTGCAAGTAGGTCTGGTTTATTGAGGGCTACCTGCCCGGTATTTATGCAAGTGTCCACCAGGTGGACACTGCCCTAAGGGACCTGATGGAACAACGGGACACATATTGGATATTAGCCAATCACAAACAATACAAACAAAACACTCCCGCAGTGACATCACAATCCCTCCTCTCTATCCTGGAGATAATTGGGAAGTAATCAAATTATCTCCCAGGACAGAGGCAAGACTCAATTAACCACATGGTTACAAAAATACATAAAATTACACAATGTTACAATTACTACATAAAACATATACATGCAACATATCCCAAGATAGCTTAGATCTGAGCGCACATTATTACTGAATGGCGCTCAGATCACCTACATACAGTTCAATCGTCATGGAGCCAAAGTCTTTTCCATAGTATTTCATTACACAAATAGGCTCCATGGCATAGCTATCTGGGGTAGCACTACTCACATACTGAAAGTCCCGAACACAAAAAAACCTTTTTTCAGGGGAAAATACAGCTATCAGCACAAGGGCCATAGTCGGAAGGCTGGAGGCTAGCCAGTAGTACCCTCCAGGCACAAGTGGTGAAGGGCACTTCGTCACACGGGTCTATCTTCTCCTCTATCCTGGAGATAATTGGCTTAACCCCTTAAAGACACATGACATGTGTGACATGTCATGATTCCCTTTTATTCCAGAAGTTTGGTCCTTAAGGGGTTAAGTAAGTGTAGTAAACTCAATTATCTCCAGGTACAGAAAATCTCACTAAGTCACAACTGCAACAAAATACATTAAAGGACCACTATAGTGCCAGGAAAACATACTCGTTTTCCTGGCACTATAGTGCCCTGAGGGTGCCCCCACCCTCAGGGTCCCACTCCCGCCCGGCTCTGGAAGGGGGAAAGGGGTAAAAACTTACCTTTTTCCAGCGCTGGGCGGAGAGCTCTCCTCCTCCTCTCCGCCTCCGTTAGCCCGCCGGCTGAATGCGCACGCGCAAGAGCTGCGCGCGATTCAGTCGTCTCATAGGAAAGCATTTACAATGCTTTCCTATGGATCTAGCGTTTCACTGTGAAAAATCACAGTGAGAAGCACGAGCGCCTCTAGTGGCTGTCAATGAGACAGCCACTAGAGGCTTTGGGGAAAAGTTAACCCATTCATAATTATAGCAGTTTCTCTGAAACTGCTATAATTATGAAAAAATGGGTTAACCCTAGAAGGACCTGGCACCCAGACCACTTCATTAAGCTGAAGTGGTCTGGGTGCCTAGAGTGGTCCTTTAAAACACATAACTAATATTCTATAGAACTGAACCCCCACATTTGACCTATACCCAGATAGCTTGGATCTAATCGCTCACTATATCCGAACAGTGCTCAGATCCCAGAAACAAAATCAAATCGCCATGGGGTTAAAAAATAGAAGGGGCTGAAGAGAGATTGAGGAGGGACAAAGCAGCCAGTTTCAACTGGTCTGGCAGTGACCCTGGGACAACGCCCTGCTGGAGAACAATGGGACAGGAAACGGGCGAGGGGAAGAGGCACACCTTCCCATGGATTCAAAGGGGCAGAAAAAGTGTCCCAAAATCCAATAAGCCCAAACAGACTTTTTAAATGGCAATACTTCCCTGGGGTCATAGTCACAAGGCAAGAGGCTGGCAAGCAGGCCTCTCCAAGAACAAGTGGCGAAGGGCACTTCGTCACAAGCCATAACACCTGCAAAGGGTTTCTAAGCCTTTAAATGGTCTCTCAGTCTGGTTCAGTAGGAATCACAACCATGGGGAAGACTGCTGACCTGACAGTTGTGCAGAAAACCATCATTGACACCCTCCATAAGGAGGGAAAGCCTCAAAGGGTAATTGTGAACGAAGTTGGATGTTCCCAAAGTGCTGTATCAAAGCACATTAATAGAAAGTTATGTGGAAGGGAAAAGTGTGGACAAGCGGCAGGGATGACCGCAACCTGGAGAGGATTGTAAGGAAAAGGACATTCAAAAGTGTTGGGGACTTTCACAAGGAGTGGACTGAGGCTGGAGTCAGTGCATCAAGAGCCACCACACAGAGGTGGGCATGGGCTTCAGATGTCGTATTCAGGGCCGGACTGGGGATTCCAAAGCAGCCCTGGAAAAAAAATCTATGCCAGCCCCATAAGTCATTGCGCCATGTATTGTCGCATGTAATATGTAAGGCTATGTCTTGCCACCCTAGATGATTGATATATATATATTGCTTTTTCCAATATAAAATATTGGTCCTTTCAGAGTAAAATTTTTAATTATACAGTAAGCATACTCACATGCAGACACAGACAATCTCACTGACACAAGCTGATTGATACACAGCCTCATACATAAGGTCATTGACATAAAAACACAAGCTCACTCAGTAGCAGGCACACACACACATACACAAGCAAGCGTGCACACACACACACACACACAGCTTAATGTAGTGGCTCTGGTGTCTATAGCCTGTCCCTGCAGGCTTTTCAATGTAAACACTGACGTTTTAGAGAAAAGGCAGTGTTTACATTGCTTCCTAGTGACAGACACTCAGACGGTCACTAGAGGTGCTTCCTGTGTCATTGCGGATTGGCTGAGATCATCAAGCTTGATGATCTCAGCCGTAGAGGCAGGGCCAGTCGAGGGGAGACCAGCACAACGTGGGGGGGTGGGAAAGGTGAGTAAAAACACACATACACACACACATACCATGACAGACACACACCATGACACAGACAGACCGTGACACAGACAGAAACACACACACACCATGACAGACAGACACACCATGACAGACACACACCTTAAAAAAGACACACACACCTTGAAACACACCATAACACAGACAGACCGTGACACATAGACACATACACCACGACACAGAGAGACCGTGACACAGACACACCCACACCATGACACAGGAAGACACACATTACATGACACAGACAGACACACACACACCATGACACACACAGACCGTGACACAGACAGACACACATTACATGACAGATACACACACACACCATGACAGACACACATTGCATGACACAGACAGATGCACACACCATGACAGACAGTGACACACACACCATGACACAGACACACATTGAATGACACAGACAGAGACAGACACACACACACCATGACAGACACACACACACCGTGACACAGACAGACACACACCATGACACAGACAGACATACACACACACACATACCATGACACAGACAGATACACACACAAATGACACAGACACACACACACATACACAATTTCTACCTGTGGGGAGCTCTGATGGCGGCCGCATGGGGGAGCTGGCTCTTCTGGCGGCCGCAGAGGGAGCTCCTTTGGCGGCCGCAGGGGGAGCTGGCTGTTCTGTCTCTCCCCCCCCCGAGCGCCGCTTAATGAGACCGGGGCCGGAATATGACGTCATATTCCGGCTCCGGTCTCACTAAGCGGCTTGCAGGGGAGGGGGAGCAGAGACAGAACAGCCAGCTCCCCCTGCGGCCGCCAAAGGAGCTCCCTCTTCGGCCGCCAGAAGAGCCAGCTGCCTGCCTGGCCCCAGGTGCCGACAGCCCACCGTGAAATTTCCCGGTATCCCGGTGGGCCAGTCCGACCCTGGTCGTATTCCTCTTGTTAAACTGCTCCTGAACAACAAACAACGTCAGAAGCGTCTTACTTGGGCTAAAGAAAAACAGAACTGGTCTGTTGCACAGTGGTCCAAAGTCCTCTTTTCGGATGAGAGCAACTTTTGCATCTTATTTGGAAACCAAGGCAAGATGCTAGAGGTCCAGTGTGAATTTTCCACAGTCTGTGTTGATTTGGGGAGCCATGTCATGTGCTGGTGTTGGTCCACTGTGCTTCCTTAAGTCCAGGGTTAACGCAGCCGTCTACCAGGAGATTTTTAAGCACTTCATGCTTCCTTCCGTAGATGAGCTTTATGGGCATGCAGACTTAATTGTCCAGCAGGACTTGGCACCTGCCACACTGCCAAAAGCACCAAAGCCTGGTTCAATGACTGTGGGATTACTGTGCTTGATTGGCCAACAAACTCGCTTGACCTGAACCCCATAGAGAATCTATGGGGCATTGCCAAGAGAAAGATGAGACATGAGACCGAACAATGCAGAAGAGCTGAAGGCCGCTATTGAAGCATCCTGGTCTTCCATAACACCTCAGCAGTGCCACAGGTTGATAGCTTCCATGCCACGCCGCATTGAGGCAGTAATTGCTGCAAAAGGGGCCCAAACCAAGTACTGAGTCCATATGCATGTTTATACTTTTCAGAGGTCCGATATTGTTCTATGTACACTCCTTGTTTTATTGATTGCATGTAATATTCTAATTTACTGAGACTGTCGATTTGGGGTTTTCATGAGCTGTGAGCCATAATCATCACACTTATGACAAATCACGGCTTAAACTATCTTGTTTTGCGTGAAATGCGTCTATCTCATATATTAGTTTCCCCTTTTACGTTGCATTACTGAAATAAATGAACTAATTTTTCGAGTATCACCTGTATAATAGGTTATTAAAAGAAACTATGAAAACTAAATGCTCACTGTGGACATAAAGTAAAAATAAAAAAGCTGTGAATTTTCTAATACCAGCAAGTCTGGGTTTCATACTAGACAGGGAAACACATCCTAAAATTGTTATATGTATAGTCTAAAATATAGACCGAGGGGGAAAAACAATCTATAGATCCAGATTACAATAAAATCAATCATTAGTAAAACTACTGAAATAATGTATAATCAGAAAGAACAGCTTAGAAAAACTGGAAGTGAAAAGAAAAAAAACAATTGATTGCTTCAAGGGAGGGACTACACCTATTATCCAAAGCACAGCTAAGATGGAACTTAGAAATCCACGGAAGGGCTCACAAGCTGCTGCTTGAATGTTTAGAGCAGGGCTGTCCAACCTGCGGCCCCCCAGATGTTGTTGAACTACAACTCCCATGATTCTTTCAATTAAAAAGATAGCCAGGGAATCATGGGAGTTGTAGTTCAGCAACATCTGGGGGGCCGCAGGTTGGACAGCCCTAGTTTAGAGACTGACTTGGTAACAGTCACTGTAGAGAGGAAAGAGAGAGACTCTAAGACAGCCTAGTGTCTAAGTACCAGAACCCTTGCTCTCCACCTGACCTGAATCTGACATATCAGGAATGTTAAATAGGGAGTCAATAAATGTTGGTGAAACTCAATTGTCTTCGTAGATGACAATTTAACCCTTATAAAACCAGGCCAGCATAGAAAAAAACAGATCACCCATAAGCCCTAGAATTCGATTTAAGATACACCTTTCATATGTAGAAAAAAAAAATAGATCCAAAATGTAGATGATTCACAGGAAGGTAAATTCTCAGTCTAATAAAGAGTTATAATCTCAAGGGTAAAATTTATTTTATCTCATTACTGCACAGACAGCAGGGGATCTGATACTAATCAGACACAACTGAGCAGAGTTAACATATTTAATTCATACTTTGGTTTAGAGTTAAAAACAACCCTATTAATGGTAAAACTGTAGAGGAATTCACATTGTCCAAGGAAAAACCCAAGCGTTTAGATAAGCTTAATTGGGTAGGTCCCTCTCACCTACCGTTCCAGTATGTCAAAACACGTTTTGTAGAATTATTTGTGTTCATTTATTGTACAGCATCACAGAATTAGTTGGCACTATATAAATAATTGAATATTTGGGAGAAATATGATAGAAAAAGTCACATAGACCCAGTATGTATAAAACGTAACAGGTCTTACCAGTGCTTTAACTGAAACAAGTGTACCAAATATCTTAGTGTGTTTAAAGGCAAGAAAGAAAAAAAACAAACAGGTGGTCTGAACATTGCTCACAGACCGTTAAGCAGTACATATTTGGGTAATTTGCACCAAGACAGAAGATAACTTGCACATGCATTTACTGGTAGAGGAGATGAATCACAACCTGTGTGTACATTCCTTTTCTGTTATTGGAGACACATCAACCCCTGCATGTGCTCCACAATGAGGTTGGCTTTCACAGGCACTAGAATAAGCCCAGCATACAGCCTTTTCCTTCATAGATAAGCCAAGCTTGAAAATAGCCTTGAAGCAAGATGAAACAAACCAATATGTACTTTAAACATGCTTGTGCCTTCTAAATTGATAACTAGGCTAATTAATTGGTTGCCTAATTGCCTCTGTGTATTGGTCAAAATGGTGGACCACACCAGGCAGACAAAAAAATGGGTCGCAAGAGTATACTGAGAACTGGCAGCATCTGAAATAGCCTGTCCTTTGGATTCGAATGATTTTTGGGTATGTTTGTATTTGGAATGTGCTGATTAATAATATGTGACTTTTTAAATATTGTATGTATGGTTTTAGAGTTATGAAAGTTGGGTAAAAAGTATGTTTTAAAATGTACGGATAATTGGGTTACCTCTCAGACTAAGGGGAGGAGATGTGTGTATGTAACCATTGTGTGATTGGGTATTGTATAATTGTCTGTGGGCGTCTCCCTTGCAGGGGAGAATTGCATAAAAGCAGAGTGTGTGTCATTAAACTAGAGTTCTTCTTCACCCTCAATCTAGAGTCCTGTCTCTTATTGGGGGAAATGCTATATCACTACAAGGGATTGCTATGTTCTGCATGCTCCCTTGGATGATCACTTCTAAGCTCTTTTAAGAGCTTGTTCCTGCTTCACTCTCTTGGAGGAGAGTTGCACCCTCTGGAACCTGGAGCCTTGTCGTGGGTCCAGGGTGGGTAGAAGACGGCGAGACCCCAACCAAGCTGCGACGGTTCGTGGGGTCTGTGGTGGTTTCGATGTCTGCGGAGCGCTTGGAGCCCTCTGTAAGCGCTAGGAGCATCCAATAACGATGGTACCCAGTCGGGGTGCCAGGTGATCCGTTACATGTGCATGGGAAAAATTTTCGGTTCAGTTCGGCATTTCGAAATTCGGGACTTTGACGCTTCGGAAATTCGGTAATTTTGGAACTTCAGGACCTCTGCAATTCGGAACGTCTCTTGTAGCCGCTTGGTAGATAACTCCCTAATTCCCACGGTATTAGGGCGTTATATACCAAAAGGCTGAAAGACCACCGCTCAGGGGTGGGGGCCAGGGGGAAGGACATTAGGTCCCCCCCATTAGTATTTTAGGGCCCCCACCCACTGCTCAGGGGTGGGGGCCAGGAGGGAGGACATTAGGTCCCCCTCCTAATTAGTATTTTAGGGCCCCCACCCACTGCTCAGGGGTGGGGGCCAGGAGGGAGGACATTAGGTCCCCCCATTAGTATTTAGGGCCCGCACCCACTGCTCAGGGGTGGGGGCCAGGGGGGAGGACATTAGGTTCCCCCCCCCCATTACTTTACTTTAGGGCCAGCCGCTCATGGGTGGGGGTCGGGGGGAGGACAATAAGTCCCCCCCCCCTTATTTTACTTTAGGGCCCCCACCCGCCATTCAGTGGTGGGGGCCGGGGGGGGGGGGCAATAGGTCCCCCCCTTCAGGTTAGGAGGGGAAGGGGGGACTTTTTTTTAAAGTGAGCTGCCACAGGCTGCTCACTGTTTAATAGACATGCCCCTACTCGCGGTATAGCGAGTAGGGGCATAATTTACTAATAGTAATCTTTACTTAGTATTAGTAAATTTGGCTGAAAGACCAATTCGGGTCTTTCAGCCTTTTAGTAGATAGCTCCCTAATACCGTGGGAATTAGGGAGTTATCTACGTATTCATTCCTGTCATTACACTGACTGGCCAAGTAACTTACATTTTATATGAATGTATGTTACTTGATTGTTGTAAGTATTGCAAATGCTTACAGCTGAATCCTGGCTATGTTTGTATACTTTTTATTTAAAATTGTATACAGTGTAACATTCTTCTTCTTCCACTGGGTAAGTATATTAGTACTTAGGCAATACTGTGCTTTTGGAACTTCGGCACTTCAGAACTTTGGCAATTTCGGAACCTCTGCAATTCAGAAGTACCCGAATGTCCGAATTTTCTGAAATTCGTCTGAATTCATATTCGGCCCAAAACGAATTGCACATGTCTACCTGCCATTAGGCTCCAGATTCAAGAGTTGGTGCCAGGTGCTGAGATTGCTTTGTGCATGGCACTCTGCGATCTGTCAGTGGAATGCAACGACATCCCAGTGTGTGGTCCACATATGGAGCCTCCAAGCTGTCTGATGCACCTTCGCCTCTTCTGTCACCCGGCACGGATTGTAAAGAATGATAGAGTGAAATACAGAAGCTCGTATGGAGTTCATATCCTATGATAATTGAAGGACTAGACGGTGCCCTCCACAGATCTATCAAAACAACAAAAAGTAAATAGCTTCACCAGCTCTGCCAAGGGAAGGCAGAGCTCTGCTACCTGACCGGTCTCTTGAGGACAGGCAAATACTTGGGAGCCTTTAAAGCTAGGAGACTGGGGGGAGATGAGCACTACATCCCACTTGTTATGACAACCGCTTGGGAAAAAGTTACATTTTAGCCCTTCTTTGCTGCTGCTTTGCATCCCTGGTTGATATGCTTAGCCATAATCTGAGTTAATCCAGTTGTCGTAAACATGTATAATACATCAGGTTACACTCCAGGGAAAGGCTATACACCCCAGAAGCACCACATGGAACTGTAGAAGTTCTGTTGACTAGTGTCCCTTTCATTCATCTTTAACAACCTTCCTGTGCTGTTTCTCTTCAAGTATAGATGTTTAATTAAAACAAAAGGTTCAAGTAAAGGTAACTGAATATGGAGTATAACGATTATAAATTATAGTGTATAAGAGGGCTGCATCACAATAAAAAATGAGCGACTTCTAAATGAACATAAAGTATAAACCAACAAGTGATGTGAGCGCTCCAAACAGATCTTAATTTGCACTCCAGCAGTGAGCGTAAAAAGCAAATAGTATCACGTATGATATAGTGAATAGACAAAGAATACAATGCAGGCATGATCCTTCGGGCTTACCACAAAGCAATAAGTTTGAACAGAAGTTCCCTTCTTGTATCATGCAAAGATGAATACTGTCCAGCTATACTGCTACAAACATCAGATACACACAGGGTGGTTGTGTCTGTATTGGAAAGCCAAATCTCCAAGAAGAATGAGGAAGAATAAATTCGTCATTAGTACCAGGGAGGTTACTAAGAATAAGAGCCCCGTCTTCACCAGTTTTTAATAATGCATACGGCCTGATTTTTTTTAAACCTTCAGAAACATTGGTCAATATTACAACTGGACCCATAGCTGAATTTTAGCATATTTGGAGCACCTAGAGTGACATTCAGGAGAAACCGGAATCTCAAAAGTCTGTTAGCTCTATCTAAGCTTACCCCAATAGAACCTCTGAACCCACCGATCCATATTAAACCAGCAACCTCAGATGTGGGTCAACTAGATGCTTAACCTGTCAATATTTGTGCCATGGGATATCCAACTTCAATTCCGCCTCTAATGATCAGACCTATATAGTTAATTCAAGTATCACATGCAATTCTTTCTTGTTTACCGCCTCACCTGTTCATGTGGACTCTTATATGTAGGTCAAACCACCAGAACATTAAACACCAGGTTCAGAGAACACAGATTGGCCATTATGCATAAAGACTGCAGCGATTCCTGGTAACAGGAGCTAACAGACTGCAGAATCCACCTTCATTTTGTGGCGGGCAGTTTGGCATGCTCCCCCAGCATTGAGGTACAGTGAGTTGCTCTGGCTTACCCCCAGCATTTCTTTAGACTTGGGGCACGTTCCAGGGCAGTGCCCTCAGTTAATATCTAGATGTTTTGTGGGTTTTAGAGCTCCCTACCCTCCTGACACCTCTTGATTACTTTAGGTTTTGTACATTGATTTTTATAATATATTTTTATGTTCCTATTGAGACATGGAGAAATCAAAGGAAAGTCAGCACTAGGGTTCTTATCTACTTGAAGCCTTTTAATGCAAAACACATCTAGATACTGTCTTTATATTTAAATAAAGGAATGATTTTGGCACAAATTTCTTTGATTGCCATATTCCTTTATTATTTATACATCTTTACCTGGCTACATTGACATTCATCGCTTATTAAACAAGTACAAAGAATCTCTAGGTGGGGATTATACCACCCATCCACTAACATCGAGCAGTATAGTCTGCCCTACATACTGTGAGTTCATTTCATATACTTTATATTCTTTCACTCAAGATACAGTGAGCACTATTTTATTCCTTTTAATTTTTGGTTGGATCGCACCCATATTGATCTACTGAACCATCCTATACACCTGTTAACCAGCATCACTTCACATATCCTTTAGTAATCATTCCACTCCCTGCACCCTAAACCAGAGCTGGATATTAGCTCTGTAGATTGTGAGTAGTACTGATTACTACTTTGTTTTCTATTCTGCCTACATACTGTACCATTGGAGTTTGTGTTCTTTCTCCCCATTTCAAGTGAAGAGCTTTTCCATCTTATTGTATTGCCAGAGTCCTCCCTATAAATATGGATTGCATCATTCTGGATTTATGATAAGTCATTTGGACTATTACTTCTACCATTTGTTTTGAGCCGTGTCATCTATTGAGACATGGACTATTATTGTAGGGGCCCCACACAGTCCTATAGACCTTTATATCTATTTATGACATTTATTGATTATGTTTCAGTGTGATTGCACATTATCCAATGTATTTTAAGGATAGATTAATTTTGTCTATTTACGATATACCTTTTTGATGCACACTTTTATTGGACTATTTTAATACTTTATAGGTTTAATAGTCATTTCTATAGATGGTATATTGTATATTTGCATTGATTGTATATTCGCTATATCATACGTCATACTATTTGCTTTTTGATCCTCACTGCTTGAGTGTAAATTCAGATTGGTGGTGAAATCTGACACTGACCCTTCACCTTGCTTCCTTGAGCCTCTGGCAAAGATATCGCCACTGAGAGAGGGGTATTTTATATACACCCCTATATACTATTAACCCTTAATAGGTGAGGAGTAATTACCACCCCACCAACTGAGGAAATAGCCCATTTAATCTATGCACATTTGACTTAAGGAGGGCTACAATTATAAGTAGTCTCCTTTCTAAACAAAGATCAAATCTTCATGTCTGTGCAGCTTGCAACATGCTACGCTAGAAAAGAAAATGAGAATGAGCTAAATGTGCCAGATAAGAACTCATGTCTACTCTGCAATTAACCAAGCCTTTCCTTTGCACGAGCTCCTGCACATACTGAATACAAAAGAAAACCAATAGAATTTTCTGAAAATGTTTATTTGTTTCAAAACATTGGTAATGTTGATCGATCTCAATTTTTAAGACCACTCAGTTGTGGTTCCAACCCACTCAGATGCCTGAGCAGTTGGGGCAGCAGACCAGTCATCAGTGCTAGTTGGCTGGGCACTCCAATCTTCAGCTAAAAGAAAAAATATAGTCAGTTTTGAAATATATGACCGTTTATTGTATAAGCCTAGACAGTTGGTCTACAGTTTCCAGATGGGTGGAGGAATAAGACATAGGAAGATGCCCTTTAAATAAAGATTTTGTTCTATTGATAACACCAGATTCTGGCTGTACAGGATTATGCAGATTAAGTGTTTGTTTAGTGCACCACCTCTAAAAGCTCACTTCCTTTAATTCAGGATTTCCCCATGGGAATATAAATTTTGCTAGACAGACTTTCTGGCTTTTCCATGTCTATAGGTAGGGCCCTTTAAGGGAATTTCCTTATTTTTCTAAAATTCAAAAAAAGAGTTTCTCACCTTGAGGTTTTGGAGCAGCTGGAATATCAGTTCGTTCTGGAATAAAAAGAAAAAAATAAGTTGAAACAAGGCAGACCAGAGTTCACATTTGGCTTTTATGTAGACATTCATTGCATGAAGCGTACTAACCTGGAGCAAACTGCTGAATGGGCACAGAGGGAACTTGCACACCTTCAGACCAGTCAGCAACCTCAGGCTGAGGGAAGTCTGGAACCGGTGCAGTCCATTCTCCTTGGTACTCTTCTTTGGTGGTGGCCTTCTCAGCTGCGGCCTGTTCTTCCTTCTCAATCTACACAGATTAACATTTCACAATAAATATCAGCACAGATCAACAGGAAATTTATACCAGCATAAAAGCATTACTCAGGTTTTCAAGCTAAATTACATTCCTTGAATATTTTAGTTTTAAAAAGACAGTGCTGATAAACACTAGATATTACACAAAGATTAGGGGTCTGACTATACACAAACTTTAGACAGTCATTTTTTCATAGCAATGTATTACTTCAGATTTGCACTCCCAAGTCTAGATCAGTTTGCAGTATGCTAGACAAGGGTGGGGGAGAATTAGCTCTTGATGAAATTAATCACCGACCATGAAGGTCTCCAGATCAGAAGAATGACAGAATTAAAAATAAGGGACAGACACCCATGGCAAAAGAAGGCTGGAAAACCTTGTTGGTACTTGAAACAAGAATGGCTTTACTCAAGTTGCACAGAGTTCATTATGTACAGCCTACCCATTGGTGGAGGAAAAGACTAGCTATTATGGAATTATTCTACCAGTGGGAGTCTGAGCCCAGGACATATTTGTGCCTTTGCTTTTGTATTACACAGCCATGCAGTGCTGCCACCCACCCCATTTGTTCCCTATAAAGTGTTAATAGGAGTGTAGGGGTTTAGAAAGATACCAGTCTGATTTTTGTTACTTGAAGCTAAAGGAAGCAAGGTGAGCTGTTAATGACTCCCTAAAAAGGTTTGCTTTGACATAGCAGGCAAGCTTACATCTAAAAGCCATTGGAATAGTACTAAAAAAACTCCATTTATAAAACTATGCATAGGTATTTGGAGTGTGCAAGTAACCTTTGGTTCTTGTTCCACCAAGAGGCCTGATAATCTGCTCTAATGCAAAAAGCATTAGGCAATAATTATGGAACCATATTATGCATGAATTGTGTGTTTTTTTAGCCATTAAATAATTCAATTCTTTAGTTTAAAGATGTTCCGCTCCCTTCAGCAGGATTCGATTTCACAAGACTAAGTCAGGCAGTACAAGCAAAAAAATTGCCAGTGTTACCTACAGCCAAATAGCAATGTGTTTAACACAGAATAAGTTAAGTTCATTAACAGATTGCATTTGCCGGCTAAAATAGCTGGAGAACTGTGACCCAAAGTTTCATATTCTGTTCAATAACAGTTAGAGATTAAACCTGACCATGTTAACCATCTTTTAACAGGGCAGATTAGAGATCTTGTGTTGCTTTGGTAACATTACACCCATCTTGATGATGCCCAAGCATTCAGAGTAAAGTATACCCAAAAGAACCTCACCTCCTCTGGATCTCTGTAGAAGTAAAGATCAGGCATGACCTCCCAGGGGTGTTCACGGGAAATTGTACCTCTCATACGCAGAACTTCACGGGCCAACATCCACCATAAGAGACCCACTGAGTGAGCACCCTAAATCAGAGAAGAGCAATTAATACAAGAGCCAAGATTACAGCAAAAACAGTAGTCCAATACACAAAAGCTTTGTGTGTTTAAGACTGGCAGAGATTGCACCAGTAGAGGTAAAAGCTTACATATAGCTTTTATATAATGCAAGAGTCTACATTGAAAGTAAGACAAGTACCTAGGTTTATACAAAGTCACCCACTTTGCGAGTTATCAGGAAAAAAAAAAAAAGTCACCCTCAAGTTAAAAAAAATTCTGAGAGCTGCTCTTCAGAAAACGCTAGATGGCTAAATCAAGTTCAGGTACTAAAAGAAAAACCCTAGTAAAACTAACTCATTTTAGGCTACCACCACATTTCTAGAGTTTCACAATGTAAAGTTACTACAAGCATTATCTTCACTTCAGTGATTTGAAGTGGCCAAGACACCTGGAGTGTATGTGCAGTTTAATGCTGAACACCTTTGCGGTCAGAAGTTTAGAATACCTGACAAGTTCACTGGGGAGTCATTAGCCAAGCTGGAATAAGAATTTACACAAAGCATTACATTGCCTAGTTTAGTAGTTTTGATGGCAGGAGTAACCCTTTGTTCTTTTACAACGTACTTTGTTATATGAAAAAGGAACTCCAGCCCATATATGGACCGCAGCAACCTACCGAAGCTGGCCAATTTTAAAGGTACAGTTCATTATCTATCATTACAATGGAAAGACTTTGAACATTTAGGGCAGCAGTGTACTACAGTGTTTTAGTAACCATGTCAGACTCATGCATGTAGCTAGAGTTATATTCCTTAAGTTTAATCTGAATGAGGTTTTAAAGTGTTCCTTTGGTGCTAATCCAAGTAATACACTCTTCAAATAAATTCACATTTGACTGATGTAACCAGTATTTATCAGAACCTGTTGAAACTGGTGGAGCCAACTGTCTATAAGTCATTGAAGACAGCATAGAGTGTTTAAATGCCACCCATTGCTATACCCTCATATTCAGTTACCCATCTCACATTGATTAGTCAGCCACAACTGCATGTTCAAACTGAAGGCTGGTCTCAGCGGTAGCGGACCATGAAGTATGACCAATTGTGATATACATCTTTCTAGAACAGATCCCACCAGAATTCAGTGAAACTCATTTATAACTCACCTTATTGTTGCAGGGGATGGCAATGTCTACATAGCGCAGGGGTGAGTCAGTATTGCATAAAGCAATGGTAGGGATGTTCACATAGGAGGCTTCTGTGAGAGGCTGATGATCAGCTCTGGGGTCAGTCACGACTAGCAGACGTGGCTCACGGAAGGCAGCCTGGATCTGATTGGTGAAGGTACCAGGAGTGAAGCGCCCAGCAATTGGTGTTGCACCACAGGAAGATGCGAACTTCAGTACAGCACGCTAAAGGAATAAACAAGTATGACTAAAACTGCAGAAAAATGAAAAAACACAATGTTCTTTATGGATAGAGATCATTGTGGCAGAGATCACTATCAAACCCCGATCATTGAGCATGATGCTCTGACGGTGTTAGCGAAAATCCCGCCTTGGAATTAATGTTGCACACTTCCGACACTCGAGAGTTCACAAACCACAAAATGGCTTCTACTCCGAGCTTTAACAGTGTGCGTGGGTTGGAAATTACTATACATCCTTTGCAGCAATAGGCTTTTTGACAAAGTAGGTACTATTTCACCATTAACAGCCTAGGTACAGATACTAAAGAATTATGAAGGGTATCCAAGAATTGCCCAAAGTTTGGGCCACTGGTAGAATTAGTAATGTTTAAAACACATCATTTTCCAAGATTTAATTCTAAATTTGCTAAGTAAAGCCTACAATTCATTGGACAAAGCCTGTTACCATTTCATGTTTTACTAGCTTTAAGAGCATGATGGGAGTTGTAGCTCTTGAACAGCAGGAATTTGCTTCCTGTCCTCCCAATATATAAACAAAGATTTCAGCGCAATTGCCCCTTACCTGACCAGTATTTCTGGAGGAAATTACACACACATCAGCAGGGTTCTCAATGGCTACAATAGCCCGAGCTGCAAGGAGAAGCTTTTCCCATGTGCGTTTCAGATTGATTATGTAAATTCCTGCGGAAATACATAAAAAAAGTTCTTAGAAAAAATAATCATGCTCACTTTATAAAAAGTGGTATAGTAAACTAAACCCTGGCCCAAGAAGGTCTAGGCCTTAAAACTCATGCCTTTTTACCAAACTCACCATCACTTTTTCTCTTGTAGATGTATTGTTCCATTTGAAAGTCTAGGTTGGTGCCACCCAAGTGGGTTCCTGCTGCCAGGAACTTGAGGACATCTTCCTCCTTCATCTGCAGGACTTCTAGAGCTCCGGACATTGTTAATTGCCCCTTTAAAGTAACGATGGGGAACCTACAAAAAAAAAAAAATACAATTAAAGAGATTTGTACTACATTTTAAGCTGGCCCTTTAATTATTTGCAGAGCCCAGTATATAGTTGTCTATTTAAATGTTACTTTTGTCATGATACATGCAGTCAGCATGAAGAGCTCGATATGGTACCCAACTAGCTAAATGTGGAGCTACATTCATACATAGAATATGACAGCAGATAAGTACCATTCGGCCCATCTAGTCTGCCCAATTTTCTAAATACTTTCATTAGTCCCTATCCTTATCTTATAGTTAGGCTAGCCTTATGCCTATCCCACACATGCTTAAACACTTTTACTGTGTTAACCTCTACCACTTCAGCTGGAAGGCTATTCCATGCATCCCTACACTCTAAGTAAAATAATTCCTGATATTTTTAAACCTTTGCCCCTCAGATTTAAGACTATGTCCTCTTGTTGTGGTAGTTTTTCTTCTTTTAAATATGGTCTCCTTTACTGTGTTGATTCCCTTTAAGTATTTAAATGTTTCGATCATATCCCCCTTTCTCATCTTTCCTCCAAGCTATACAATCTGGGAAAGTTAACGTTACAGTTTGAACTGAAAAGACCAAGTCATAAAGTTGTCATTCGTGACAGCTGGGACTGGACATTGACAGCAGAATGCTTTTTAGTGACTTATAAACCACAAGCTTGGCCATTATACAAAGCATTCTACTTTGTAGTATGGACTATGGATTGTGTGGTGTTAAAAGATCACTATAGTGTCAGGAAAACAAAGCAGTTTTCCTGACACTATAGTGCCTGAGGGTTCCCCTTCTGTGTCACTGAATGGGTTAAAACCCCCTTGAGTTACTTACCTTAATACAACACCAGCTCAGCCAAATGTGCAGCAGTGCCGCTCACATTCAAAGCGTCCATAGGAAAGCATTTCTCAATGCTTTCCTATATAGATGAAATGTGCCTCTAGAAGACAGCCACTAGAAGCTGGCTTAACCCCAAATGCATCTGAAGGGTTAAAACCAGAGGGACCTGGCACCAGGACCACTTCATTGAGCTGAAGTGGTCTGGGTGACTATAGTGTCCCTTTAATCCATATTACATACAGAATATATCTATGAAAATGTGAGACGTGACATTCTGCTATAACCCCATTATTATTTATATAGCGCCAACAGATTCCGTAGTGTTGCCATCAATCTATAACCCGCGTTACCATATCCCGATACGGCTTTACCACTAGCAGAGCCATGATACAGGCAGGATCACTCACTGATAGAGAGAATATAGGGGGGGGGGGGAACATTCAGCTCAGAGCACTAACTGGGGGGAGAGACTGGCTGAGAATGTCACACATTACCTACTAATACTGAGAGCAGCTATTATAGGGGGAGATAATAGAGATAGGGTATTATCACTGACTGACAGAGAGAATATAGGGGGGGGACATTCAGCTCAGAGCACTAACTGGGGAGAGAGACTGGCTGAGAATGTCACAGATTGCCACCCCCCCCCCCCATTAATACTGAGAGCAGCTATTACATGGGGAGATAATAGAGATAGGGTATTATCACTGACTGACAGAGAGAGAATATAGGGGGGGGACATTCAGCTCAGAGCACTAACTGGGGAGAGACTGGCTGAGAATGTCACAGATTGCCCCCCCCCCATTAATACTGAGAGCAGCTATTACAGAGGGGGGAGGGGAGATAATAATAACAGAGAGGGGGATTATTATCAGTGAGACACACACACACCGAGTGCCGCCATGTTGGTTTATTATAATCAGGGAATTATCACGGTTAGATATCGCTCCAGCTGCCGGATTCACTAAGCTGCGAGTTCTGTCAGACGGGGAGGCGGTAATCCAGGCTGCACTCACACACCGTATCTCGCAGGTTAGTAGATATCCCCTTATTGGGTGGCGATAAGCAGTGACCCTGACCCGCCCCCACTTACTGGACACAAAGCCGTATGGAGATCCTCCTGCAGTCGCTGGAGTCAAAGAGAGCGAGAGAGCGGCGTGGCTTCAATATATACAGCGATGGCCGGCCAATAGCAGCCCGCGCTCTGCCCACGTGACACAGATTGACCAATAAGGACGCGCATTAGGAAGGGGACGCGAACGGGTTTCAGCCATGTTGGTACTCTGACAGGAGGCCAATCACAGCCAGCCTTCTATCTGGGTGATACTGCTTGACAAATGGGCGTGCTCCTCATTTATCAAGCCGCCATGTTTGTACTCCAATAAAGCCCCGATCACACAGAGTTTAATACATTACAACGGTTGGTTGTCGTTTTGTTTTTGGAGTACTAGGAAGCTGTTCCGCCATGTTGGTACTCCATTAGCGGGTAATCTCAGCGTTTTGCGCGAGGAACGTGTTTAATTCCGCCATATTGGTACTCCAAACGGCAGCCATTTTGCGAAATATACTCTCACTATGATCCGCTCCCGTGCAATACACCATACCTACCAAGTGTCCCTGCTCTGGAGGGACAGTCCCTATTTTGGTCACAAATCCCTATTTTCTTCGCCTTCTCTATGAGCCCCACAGTAATAATACTCCCAGTAATGTGTCTGAGTGTATCACAGAGCTCCACAGCAATAATACTCCCAGTAATGTGTCTGAGTGTATAACAGAGCTCCACAGCAATAATACTCCCAGTAATGTGTCTGAGTGTATAACAGAGCCCACAGTATAATACTCCCAGTAATGTGTCTGAGTGTATAACAGAGCTCCACAGCAATAATACTCCCAGTAATGTTGAGTGTATAACAGAGCTCCACAGCAATAATACTCCCAGTAATGTGTCTGAGTGTATACCAGAGCTCCACAGCAATAATACTCCCAGTAATGTGTCTGAGTGTATAACAGAGCTCCACAGCAATAATACTCCCAGTAATGTGTCTGAGTGTATAACAGAGCCCACAGCAATAATACTCCTAGTAATGTGTCTGAGTGTATAACAGAGCTCCACAGCAATAATACTCCCAGTAATGTGTCTGAGTGTATAACAGAGCTCCACAGCAATAATACTCCCAGTAATGTGTCTGAGTGTATAACAGAGCTCCACAGCAATAATACTCCCAGTAATGTGTCTGAGTGTATAACAGAGCCCCACAGCAATAATACTCCCAATAATGTGTCTGAGTGTATAACAGAGCTCCACAGCAATAATACTCCCAGTAATGTGTCTGACTGTATAACAGAGCTCCACAGCAATAATACTCCCAGTAATGTGTCTGAGTGTATAACAGAGCTCCACAGCAATAATACTCCCAGTAATGTGTCTGAGTGTATTACAGAGCTCCACAGCAATAATACTCCCAGTAATGTGTCTGAGTGTATAACAGAGCTCCACAGCAATAATACTCCCAGTAATGTGTCTGAGTGTATAACAGAGCTCCGCAGCAATAATACTCCCAGTAATGTGTCGGAGTGTATAACAGAGCTCCACAGCAATAATACTCCCAGTAATGTGTCCGAGTGCATAACAGAGCTCCACAGCAATAATACTCCCAGTAATGTGTCTGAGTGTATAACAGAGCTCCACAGCAATAATACTTCCAGTAATGTGTCTCATTGTATAACAGAGCTCCGCAGCGATAATACTTCCAGTAATGTGTCTGAGTGCATAACAGAGCTCCACAGCAATAATACTCCCAGTAATGTGTCTGAGTGTATAACAGAGTTCCACAGCACACATTCCCAGTAATGTGTCTGCCTCGTACAACAGAGCCCACAGCAGCAATAATACTCCCCAGTAATGTGTCTGAGTGTATCACAGAGCCCACCCGCAATAATATCTCCAGTAATGTGCCCTGAGTGTATAACAATAGAGTCTAACAGCACACATTCCAGTAATGTGTCTGAGTGTATAACAGAGCTCCACAGCAATAATAGTCCCAGTAATGTGTCTGAGTGTATAACAGAGCTCCACAACAATAATACTCCCAGTAATGTGTCTGAGTGTATAACAGAGCTCCACAGCAATAATACTCCCAGTAATGTGTCTGAGTGTATAACAGAGCTCCACAGCAATAATACTCCCAGTAATGTGTCTGAGTGTATACCAGAGCTCCACAGCAATAATACTCCCAGTAATGTGTCTGAGTGTATAACAGGAGCTCCCCGGCAATAATACTCCCAGTAATGAGTCTGAGTGTATAACAGAGCTCCCCAGCAATAATACTCCCAGTAATGTGTCTGAGTGTATAACAGAGCTCCACA